ATATATATGTATGTATATAAAGAAAATAACAAATTCTAGACTATATCCTTTTATGAATCACTGCATCTTCGTGACATTTAACACATTTTTCAGCCTTTATTGTTTTTGTCAGTTCCCATATCTTAAGTTGTCTCACCAGAGCTCACTTATTGACATTTGGATTCTCATCAAGAATCACTTTAACTGAAACTACTCAAAACGCCACTGGGACATGTGGAAGACTGCCTGGAACTGCTTAAAGGGCTAATGATTTGACTGAAAGACTAATGGAATGCTTAGGTGAGGACTCTCGAAACAATCTCGGTCAGTAAAAGGGTCCTACCTGGGGGGTCTGTTGGAACTCCATAAAGAGCCAAACTAATTAGAGGAGTCACTTTTAAAGATGTGTTTTGTATTTGGGGCTCCTGAGAATCCATGTAGACCTACAGAGAACCTGCTGCATCCTTTATTCTTTGGTGAATGCTGCGTAACTTTCAGAGGTGTCAAGTACAAATACTTTGCTACTTTACTTAGAAATTTTGGTTATTTATACTTTAGTGGAGTAATTATTTTTCAGACTACTTTTTACTTCTTACATTTCAATTCAATTATCTGTACTTTCTACTCCTTACTTTTTAAAAATGCAAAAAGTATTTCATTTCTATTTCACTTTAACTTGTTTTTATTCCATCTTTTCATTGTTCAGAAATGAATAAATCAAACCAGAAATCCATCCAGATACATGGATCCCATAGATAGAGTGAGTTTGATTGTGGTTGGATGAGAAATGTAAATAAATACTATTCTGACATCCTTTTGGATTGACCTCACTCCATCACACCTGTATGACACAAATCACATCACATCCCAGCAGGACATGCTGTAGCAGATGGAGCCTAGAATGAAGATGATCCTGGCTAAAGTTGTGTTTTCTGAAATTTTCAGTAATAAACTGATTTAACTCCAGGATAAATAAAGTCTTTTTGAGATCAGTCCAACACGTTTTTTTTTTCTTCAAAAGAGCTAGAATAAAACGATATTTATTTACCGTATTTAGATTATTTCTATTTTGTATAATGTGAGGGTTTTATACATTAAATAAT